CTCAAATCACTCCACCCATTTACAATATCTCGACTACTTACTACACTCATTGAACGATCTAGGCCTATAACTTTCAAAATGAGATTGTCCACATTTTCTAATAGATGCAAATTGCAATTAAATTAATTAAATACGATCAGTGAGTATATTCAATAATGTCCATCAGAAATAACAGAAGCTCAAACCGCTAAACTTGACCTTTATTTGCACGAAGCTAAAGCAATTTCTGTCAATTTTGAAGCTAACCTTGATAAGCTTCTTGATGTTGATGACGACACTAACGTTTTTTCTGACAATGAAGAAGCTATTTTAAAGCTCCAGAACGACATAACAGAACTATCAATTAACATTCAAACCGAAATCTCTCTTCTAATTCAGAACTTTAATTGTAAGACCTGTTTGAAACTTCATCACACACTCCTACATTTCTTGAAACCTACCAAGCCTATGGCTGATAACAGAAATCACTCCAACCAAGAACAAAAAGAAGCAATAGCAAACTCAAAACCTTCGAAACTGTCAGCTGTAACTCTTGACCATTTCCTTATCAACTTTTCTCTTACAACTAACTGTTCCTGACCCAACAAAGATCTCACCTCTTATTGATAATTTACCTCAAGACATCACCCAAAGCCTATGCTGCCGTTGGAGTCAAAAATATTTTAAGACCCCTCATCAGCGTTGTTTCAAGTGGAACCTCAAGAAAGAAAACCTCAATGTAGACCCTATTTGCTAAAACACGCCAGCTCCTCCTAGCTACAGACCCGCTGGATCCTCATTCAAGACCATCATTCGAAATGTCTTCATACCATTAAGCTGCATTCTTTAAATAATTTTTCAACCCACTCTGGTCTATTCTCATAAAGATTTTATATTTTTTATATTTCTCTTTTGTTGAACCTTGTTGGTTCAAAGGGGGCGGTATGTTCAGTCAAGTTGCCTTTGTTTCATCTATTAATTTATATGTCTTTGTTTTTAACAGTCCATCTGTAATTCCCATCACATTACCATATGTCAATTTTCATTGTTGAATTCATTCGTCTCGAATCACCGCTCATAACATCACGCACTAATTTGTTCTCGTCAGAAATCAACCTCTTTATACCAAAACCCTCGACTTTTTCCTCTCTAATATAATAAATACACCACACAATTTTGTTATTTTAATTTAAAAATTGGAATGTTCTGAACATTTTTCATATCAGTAACATAACTTCTCCTTTCCATTCATATTAGCTGTTATATTTTAAATGGTAAACTGCTGGTGCTTTCGTTTATAGACTACCTTAATAATTCCATACTCAGTTCATTATGGTACAATAATGGGATTTGGTATGTATGTTTTATTTACCTAGTGGAATAACATAACAAAAGCCCTAGTAAAAACACCTATGCATTGGTTATTATTATAGTAAATGGATATTGAAATTTTCCAAAGGATTAAGACAAAACAATTAAGGGTTAATTAACGATTAAGGGTTAATTAATTAATCAAGACATTAGGGTGTTTTTAAAAGAATGTCGGGATTTCAAACAGTCGTTGCTCGGGGACTATCTATACTATTATAAAAAAGAGGTGGTTGCTGTATGTGTGTATGTGTGTATGGGAAAAGTAAACTCAAAAAATACTGGTCGGATTGGGCTGAAATTTGGCATGATGATAGCTCACATTCCCGATTAACATATAGGCATATTCTTATTTCAAAAATCCTTTCGGGCTCCGCCCCAGTGGCTCTGGAGTTTCCCATGTTAACCTTATGAGAAATGGAATTATTGAATCTTAACAGCTGTTTCAATTAAACAAGTTGGTTCTGTTCTATGATGTTCAATAGCATTGAAGTTACAAGGATTACCAACAGGGTGCAGCACTTTTATTTCTTTTACATTTATGACAACAGCTAATTTGCAACCAAAAGGTGAGTGAGCGTAGCGAACGAACTTCAACCTGGAGGCGAGTTAGCGTAGCGAACGAGCTAACCTGAAGGCAAGTGAGCGCAGCGAACGAGCTCCAACTTAAAGGTGAGTGAGCGTAGCGAACGAGCTCCAACCTAAAGGTGAGTGAGCGTAGCGAACGAGCTCCAACCTAAAGGTGAGTGAGCGTAGCGAACAAACTTCAACCAGGACGTGATTGAGCCATGCGAACGAGATAATCTTGAAAATTAAGAAGTTAAACGGGGCAAAGCCCGCGGGTTACAGCTAGTTTAAGATAATTAAATGGTTTGAACGTCAAATTGAAGGGAAAAGAATAAAGTTTTTTCCTCATTATTTGATACAATACAGAATGATTTATTAAAATTAAGATTTTCTTCAATCTTATATTTGAACTGGCAAACAAAGTATGTACGGTTAAGGCGGTCGACGGGTTTATCTGATGTCTTAACTCAATTTTTTTCGGTACAACGACTCTATCTTTTATAGATAACATCATCAAGTGACCAATTTAGGTTTGTTCAACTGAAGACTTCGTCGGGAAATCGGGTTTTTCGGGATTCTGAAGCAGAATTGTTGGATTTCTTTGACTATGTCATCGCTTGTTTTTAGCCGGCTAGGTGAATGTCTTTTCAAAACACTTCGTTGCCATGAAACCCATTAAACCAGCTCTAAGTTTTTTTATCATCAAGTAGATTTAAATTTAGTTTAATTTAGCAATAGATATAAACCATGCGAACCACAGATTGCAATCTGTGTATTCTGTTGTGCAGTAACCGTCGTACTGGCGACTGGCGTCAAGCGTAAAGTCACAATAGCGGCCTACAACCGCGCACCTGTTATGCGCATGCCAAGGCCAAAGTTTCCTCCCTTGCTACAAGGGAAATAAAACCTAGTTATTTTAACTTCAATTTGACGTATAAAACCTTTAGTTACCTTGAATAGTACCCAAACAATTGCCAATTACAAATCCCGGCATTTTTTGAAAAACACCCTTGAGATCAGTGGAACTAGGTTAATATTGTATGTAGTATAAAACCCTTTATAAAATTAACTATTTTTTAATTCAAACAATTATAATTGTATCCTGTTAGATAACTGTTCCAACCTTTTTCATCATCGGACTGAAGTTCTACTACTAGCTTGCCAAGAGTTTCCGCGTTATTATTATGCTAGTTTATTATGGTAGTCTAGCAACAACATTTAACATTTCACAGTAAATATGAATTGAAAGGAGAAGTTGAGTTACTGGTATAAAAATGTTTGAAACATTCCAATGTTTATATTTAAATGATATTTTTTTTATAATTTATTTGAAACTGTTATGGATATTGATGTTTTTCAAAGAATTTTCAAACGGCTATTGCTAAACGGTTAATTATATCGAAATATGCCTTATACAAAATTTGTAGCTCTTTCTTTGCCAAATATTTTTTACATTTCATGTTTTTTTATTTGACAAATAGTTTTTTTAGTAATCGGGGAAAAACTGGTTTTTCCAAGATGGCTGACGTAGCACAAGTTTTATTATCGAGGACTTTTAGTTTATTATTCCGGAAGTAAAATTCAATATACGTACCAGGTTTTACACTTATAAGAAAATTTTTTTGGGTAATTTCTCTAATAAATATGACTAGAGTACTAAGTGCACAATGCAGTTGTCTGCTTGCAATATTGAGTGGAGATAGCATATTGATCCAATACCTTTCCAAATTACCATAACATATAGTTAACGTAAATGGAATGTATAGGCTACTTGCAGTATCATAAGTCAATGTTAGATCTAGTTGTTCACATACATGGAATAGCTATTTGGAGTACCTAAAGTCAATGGTGCATTAGCCTAATTCCGGTGACCATAAACCGGTTATTCATTTTGTATTAAATGCTTGACGATGTGAATGCCAGACGATATTAAATAATCCTATTGTTTTTCACCTCTATGTATTTGTATTGTGCTGGTTTAGATGATTCGTTGACTAACATAAAATGTTACGATTCGTTTGTTTACCTTTGTATTGTTATCTTGCAAATTATGTCATGGGGACAAACACATAAGACCCATGTTAAATTTCTTAAATTCACGTAGAGAAACCTCTTTTGTCCGATTTGTACAATTTCTGATTTAACCTTCCCATTGTTGGTTACTATGACTAAAATTTCAATCGGATCAGACATTCAGGAGGGGTATGTGGAAAGCAAAAGCAGGATTGTGAGCTAGTGAGGACAGTTCGCTCCCAGAGAGCACAGAATAGAAAGGTTCGCTCCGCTCAAGTATGTGAGATGCATTACACAACTTTACCTATAACCGTTTCTTTAATAAAAATCACTATCATAACTTCCACCAGAACTTATGTTTTCATTTCGTTTATACCCTCTCATTGCCACTGATTTTGAGGTTATTGTATTATTAATAACACTGACTTATAGTCCCAACCACTCACTCAGTGTTCATTACCAGGATCAATTAAATTGGTCCTAACAGATAAACAATATACGTAGTAGAATAAAATTACATTTCTTCCTTTCAATTCTTGAACATCATTGGTCCAAACTTGTACTGTTAAGTAACAAAACAATACTGTAAAATAAGTTTATGTAAAAATGAATCTTTTCAATTCTTAGAACTGAATTAAAAAGGCTTGTTTAAAAATCGATCGTAAGTCAAATTTATAAATAGTAAATAAAACTACGCATAATATCACCCGTGAAACATAGTTGACCAATTATATACACTTACATGTTTCAAGATTGTTATATAGACGTATTTTTATAACTTTTTCTAACTTGTATTGGTAAAATTATACTGAAATCAACAAATATTTTTTTACATCTTTATTTTGTATATATTTTTTTATGTAAAGTCTACAAGTGGATAGTCAGATAGTTTAAACAGCCATGTTGCTTGCAAATGACAGAACAGCAATTAACATGACAGTTTGATTGATTGGCTCTAACAACCAATAGGAACGTTACAAATCTGTGTGCGCAAAGTGTTGTGCGCAAAAACGTTCAACCTTTAACGTTCAGCTTTTGAAACAGTTACTTCTCTACAAGTCTTGGAGCCACCAACCACAAATGATTCGTTTGGTACTAGTGTCTGCTTTCATCTTCATCTTGGTAAATATTGCAACCTTAGATTTAAGTTTACTATATATAGAAAAAGAAAAATAAGTTCTTTGTTGTAGTATAACTAAAAGTTAAATAAGAAAAAACATTCCAAGTTTATGAAATGACCTGGGATTAATTTGAAATCGTTCCTATTTATCCATACTTTTTCTTATCTCAGTGATTTATGTGTAAACTTTGATATATTTTTAAGAAGGAATTGCAAAATCTTGTACGGTGGTTTAAATTTGTATACGGATTTGGATAGATTATAGGTTACCTTACTTAACATTAGATGAATTTAAGCAGATGTTTTTGTCTCACCAACGGTAACCCTTCATTCTTCCCTATTCTCGGCTACTTCTGGTATTGTTCAAGTGTTTCGATATCATGTAGCACTTATTATCTCAGACTTGGACTTCCAAGCAGTATACTGCTTTCTGGAATGTTTGTCCGCTTTTTTAATAATGGCAGTAGTGTCCTGCCTTCTAGTTTTATTCGGAGCAAAAAATTCCGGGTATTTACATTTTGAGAATATACATTTTCTGTTCTTTTTTCTGAGTTTCCAGCTTTCTTTATCTTTTATTGAGGTATAGATATTTTTCGTGGCTCTCATTCACACCCTTTGATTATTCTCACAACTCTTTATTATTAATTAATGATCAAATTTATGATCGATACTGTTTGTAAGGGAGGAAATATTGGATGGTATGATTTAATTTAACATAAATAACGTAGTTTTAGACTAGAGTAGCTTATAAGGTTATAAAGCAAAAATTGGTTTATTTTGGATTGCATTTTTCTTCATTGCTGCGGTGTGTATATTTATTAAATCAAGCTAGCTTAACTCACCGCTTTATGGTTATCTGATCTATTTATCCATTCTGATCTTCCAACCGTCATGTATTTCCTATAATTTCGGTTGATTTGTGTCCGACATTATTAGCCTTTTTATCAGGATCATTTTTAGGGTAACTAAACTCTGCAAAAATCGTCACATTATCAGCAAATGCAAGAACATTTCCCCAGTAGTTCTAAAGTGAATAATGCTTTTTTAATTAAGGCAACCTAATAGTCATTTAAACAAAATAAATAGAATAAATTCCACAAAAGTGTTGTTTTCTTACTTAGTTGTTTTCTGTAGCAATTTTACTGATGTCATTTTAGAACCGTCAGGGATGTTTCAACTTAAGAGAGAGAGAGAGAGAGAGAGAGAGAGAGAGAGAGAGAGAGAGAGAGAGAGAGAGAGAGAGAGAGAGAGAGAGAGAGAGAGAGAGAGAGAGAGAGAGAAGCCACCCCTGGATAAAATATATAAAAAATATTTATAAAATTCTAAATTTGTATAAAATTTCAAAAGTGATGCATGTCTAATAGAGACAGGGTATAGAGTAAATATTCAATGACTACTACAGTCGTAGAGAACTGGTTCTTAAACATTTGGTATACTATAGACTTTCCAATATTTCAGGGTTTCTACGAAGCCAAAGGTGTGCCGAATGACCTTTCACTCAAGAATGACGAGACACGTACTCCCTATCGACCAATTGGTAAGTAACTAAACTATTGCAGACATAAAACTACTTTAACAAAATATTATCAAATTATTTCTCCAAGACTTTTTATCCCCGCTAGCGTAATAATAGCGCAGGATCATCAGGATCTAACGGTGAATAACATCAATGGTAGACGAACGACTGAATCAAAACCCAACTCTAACGATAAATTTTCCTTTTTCTCTCACGATTCTAGAAACCCAAAGAAAACCATTAACAAAAGTAGGCTACAATAAATCTACAAAATATACAAACGTGTTAATATATAAATGAATCGAAAATCTCCTACAAAGAAAGTTATACAATCCCTAGTCTTCACAATTGCCTGCTTTACGTATGTGTCCGCAATTTTCTATGTACGCAATCACCTGGGCACCAACTTAAGGGCCCAAAAATGCCAACACCCCCCAGTCAAAGAAATGAAACGGAGGAAGAAAGATCCATGTCGTAACACTTCGGCCCAATAACATTTCCGCCCGAAATCCTCGGATATTGCCTGCGGTCCAACTCTCTACCTGCTCACTAGTAACACTTCGTCCCAAAAAAATATTTTAAAGATCTTCACTTACTGTTTCGGAGGATATTAAAAAAACTAGCAACGCCTAAAAACTAAATAAAGGCATTAGGTTAGGTTTTGTCAGGTTAGATCTTCCGTCGTAATCAAAGGGGTTGGTGGGGGCGAGATTCCAACGATCCCAAAATTATAAAAGCTGGATGGCGTTCCCTCACAGGGTAGTTGCAAAGTATACAGGACATGGTCCTCTTACTAGCTTAACTGCGTTTCTCAACCCTTGTCAAATTTTCGTAGGCCCGAAATGTTAATCTATTAGCTTATTTAATCAACTGTAAAAGCGAGTGTGACGAAGTGTTACTGTTTTTCTAAGAAATTTAAGATTTGCCAATATGTTACTGGCCCGAAGTGTTACTACACCGAAATATCTCTCTCTGTGACACACACACAGATATGCCTTCGAAAACAAAATATTCTGGTCAGGGTTACCCAAAACATGCATTTACACCCAAAACTCAAACACAAAAGTTTTGACAAAAACAATACTTTCTACATATACTATGTAAACGGGGAGAAAGTAAATGTTTGAGGGCTTTCTTCGTGTGTAATTAACAACGTAGGTAGCGCTTGAATCAGTAGAAGGGATATTGATGTTGTTAAATAATTATTATTATTCTATTGTATTTTTTGTTTCAGAAGAAAAAGGGGTAGATGCAGCTTCTTACGGGAGGGTTGTTGAAGGTAAAGAAATTGATACTGCGACGAAGGTTGGGTGGGGTTTGTTAGGGACATATCTAGGAGTCTCTGTGGCGTATACTGTTACGTTGGTTGCTCTTACGGTTCCTCCCTTGGCTGCCGGCGGGTTGGCGTTGTTGGGGCTGGGGACGGCGAATGCAAACTCAGATGCAAACAAAGAACAGCACAATTGACAACAACCGTCGTATACGTAAAAACAAGAAGATTAATTGTTTGTGCCTTTTACTGTGAAAACCTATGACAATAAAATTTATTTAACTAATTAAATATGCTTATTATTTTAGTACCTGTCTTTATTGTACATGAGTATACAGTATTTTACCATAATTTTACCAGTATTTTTTTAATTGAACCAACAATTTTGACAATTGGATTTAGAGTCAATAACCGGAATAAAATGTCGGGAGGATTAAATAAAAATGAATACAAAGTCGTAGGTAATAATATTGTATTCTATGGTGTTAATATCTTCATCTTGATTTCTAGGAAAAGTGTAAAATACTTGAAACTAAGGTAAAATAATTTAAGTATCAATAAAAACATGTTTACTTTTGACCAGTGGCATGATTTGTTAACGATTATGATCTTAATAATACTATTTCTGTTCTTAATATTTGTGGATTTTCGTTCGTTATTTTTGTGGTCATTATTATAACAGCCTTATTATATTTACCATGGTAAAAATGGTGTTAATTTCGACACGGACACAGACATGATTATACAAAAGTAAATATTCAGGAAAAACTGAAATTATACGTTCAAAAATATATTGAAATTAGGGAATTTATAGCATTTAATGATGTATAACTATACATTTTAATTTTATAATTTCGTTGCAACCAGAAAAATATGTTTTAGGGAACACCCATTTGTCATAATGTTTTTGGAATATTATATATATATACTAGCTGTTACCTACGGGCTTCATAAGTATTAATAAAACTATTGATTGGTTAAGGCTCAAATACACAGAACAGAATACAGTAATACAAACAAATAATCTTACCTGGTTTTAATAAGGTAATAAATTGAAAGTATATCCAACCAATAAGTACAGCTGAGGTATTTTTAACATTAGGTATATGGAAAGTTCCCTTTAGAAAGGAATGACGAACTTAAAGGGCTTTAATGAAATACCGTAATAGATAGTTTTGCGCAAGGTTTCTCGTCATGACAAACATTTTAAGTATATGATTTATGGAGGTGTGACTACTCGTTTTCTCAAAAGTTCATGAGTACTTTAGGATTTATATATGGATTAAAAGAATAAGGATTATAAACTTTGAGATAATAAATAAACTCCCTTAACACAGGAACCTTAATTAAAGAATGCTATTAAAAACATTTAAAATATAAAATCTATGTCTGCTTTTACATTAATCTTTTGATTCTCATTATAGATGTTTGCATTACGATAAAGTTATTGCTTTTGATTTTACCTCACAGTTTCATGGCAATAGACAAAAGATTTTCCTTAAATAAGCAATAAGTATAACAGATTTTTTTCTGTATATATATAATTAATTCATGGTAAAGTATGAATAATTAGAGGTATGTGTAACCGTGTGTAACTCATTTTTACAGTAGATTTATAGACGCAAAGATTCTTCCCCGTGGCGAAACCATCGATGTATTTGGTATAAGATTTTATAAAATAACAGGTTTTTCCGTACACAGCGTAGAATCACGAAGTTTTTGGTTATTTTACATTGCTACTATAAGAAAGCAAAAACAAGTTTTATCTCACTTTCTGTCTGCTTGTTTGTCAGTCCGTCTCTCATTGTGTCTGTAACGCCATAATTCCAATTTACGTGGCCCACTCCAAAATATATAGAGCACCGTTCATGATCATAATAGTTTCCGCTGTATGCGTGTTAGTGTCTAGGCCATTAAAATATGTCGTCACTACTTAAGAAATGAAATAACAGAAAACCTGATTTTTGCGATTTTTGTCAAGTTTTCTCCAATGTTTCCACGTGAGATTAATAACCTTGTGACTTATATAACAGATTTATCGATTATTATTATTTATTGATCGCATGTACAATATTGTGTAACTAAAAATTAATATTTAATAACTAGGCATCATCCAGGTCAGGAACCGGAGAGTCTGGGTTGTTTCAAATTGCAGGTTGCTTGAGTTTTGACAACTAGTAAAAAGGGCATGAACCAGTGTTTCATAGGACTTCATTTTTTTCGAATCATCGTAGCTAGCCTACTATTGAGGTTTCCACTTTTTAACGGTATTTTGATGGCTTTTGTGTCAAGTAAAAAATCACAACTGCTGTGGGTGATCGCGGATGTTCCTGCTATCTCGGAAGATCTTTACGATTTCGTTGTGATAGTAACAGAGGTTTACGGATGCTGCTAAACTCACTTTTCCAATGTGTCACCTTCGGTTTCGACTGACCGCTATTATTGCGCCACCATTGCTGGACCGTACCACTAATAAAAGATAGGTCTATAGCCCATCTTCTATCGGTAAGCAGACCTATCCAATATTCCGTAACCACAATTAATATGACGTCAGGTTTTGGTGCCAGTACTTTTTCGCTAGAACTGGGGGTAGCGAGAATAATTTTTAGATACCAACAATCACTATTTACAACCTAGTTATCGTCGATGTTGCACCTTTCTTACTGTCATATTAATTTCAATTGATTTCTTGCTGAATAAGATTTGCATTTTCTGTATAGGTTCCACATCTTATGCGTTTATAATATGAATATTTTAACACGTTATAGCAAACCGTCATAATTTGTTACGTATCAACCTCTAGGGCCTAGTGGTGACATTAGGGGGAGGAAGTCTGAATTTATTACATTTCAATTACGTCAATGACCTTGAGCTCTGCTAGTAAGATGCCTAGCTAGTAAGAGGCATTAGTATGGTGGCGTGTCGGGGAGAAGGATAAAGGGTATAATTATTATTGTTCATGATTATTCATTCGCTCTTACTAAAAAACAAACTTATTTCAAGCCAAAAATTAAGAATGAAGATCTAACTTCTATATTCGTTTGGAAAACGTCAGTCTTAGAGGCAAGTCAAGACTGTTTCTCTGCCTGCGCCGTCAATTCACAAGGTCCACTTCACAAGTTACTGTCATCACTACTTTTTTTAGTAAGCCTATGTGTCGATTACGTATCTTGTGCAATGTAAAATCAAGACGACGTTGTTCCAACTAAGTTATAAGTTTGGACTTCCTCGTGTGATCAAAATATTCACCTACAGAACAACAGAAAAATTAAATTTGATTTTTAAATAAGCTTTATCGACATTTGCAGACAGTTTTATATAATTGTTTTAAGGAAAACCAGCATCTATTGGAAATAATAAATTAATAAGGATTTGAATATTTTTACCTCCTACAAAATATGAAACACCATGTGCATATTGGTCTTGTCCTGTTAATAAAATTTTGTTAAGGTTATCTTTAATTTTTTGAAACTATATCATTGCACAGTTTGGTGGCAAATTAATAATAAATTATGACAATTCAAATTAATAAATTTTGACACATAATAAAAATGCAACTCTGTTAAATATCATAGTTTTTGATTAAGGTAAGACTGATTATTTATACTATATTATCGTTTTGCATTCATAGTAGAACATTATAGACTTTAAGTAAACCAGCAGCAAAAATTATTGTTTAGAATTTTCACGAAATGTTTGCCCCGCCTCCCAGTTAACTGAGAATTTTAAGAAGTAGAAACATAAAATAAGTTACAAATAACATTAAATAAAAAATAAATTAAGTAAAATATAACACATTGTGTAAAAGAAATACAAAACATTTACGTATGTCAATATATTTCCAACCATACTAGGAATTTCCAAAAATTTATATTGTCTGTTGAAATAGTTTTACTATTAATAAAGTTGAGAATACTACAGGTTATACAAAACGAAACTTGAATAATACAAAAATATATAGTTAAAGTGACAGATAGATTGACAATATTGTAAAAATATTGTATAATATCAAACAATATCAAATTATTTACAGTATCATGGTTACAACTTACTACTCTTGTAATGACTCAAAGTTAACCTCTTTTGGATCTTTTATTTTATGCTTTTGTTAGTGGGTACTCGTTAACACTGCAGTAGGCTTAGCGAATATGATTGTGAGATGATATAATTATCTAAACTTGTTTATGCATGTTGGTAATCATATGTATTTTAATTTAAGTAGTTCTATTGATTCTGTTATTTTTACCTCGTACAACATATTTGAACATGGGTTAAAACATTAGATGTCTTTAATATACTCTGAGAAGCATTCATAATTTTCAGCAATGATGCATCACAATCTACCTTGACTTTGTGTTTCAGAAATGTAATTGTAAAATATTTTGTCAACATGACTAGAATGTTAATAAAGTAGAAGTATCAACACGAAATAGTTTGTAAGATAAAAAATTGAAGCATAGGGTAATTTATATGGTGTTCTAACCTAAAACATTGTTAATATTTCAATGTAAAAATGCAATTGATACAAAGTAACTAAGTTACCAATTTATGTTTTTAATTAAACATTTTAATTTTAAGTGCCGGCATAGATCACAAACAGATTGACCTATCCTACTAAGAAAAGTAGATTCTGAGCCTACATTAGTTATAAGGAGACCACTAGAAACTAGGTAGTCTAGAAGTGACCTTCTTCGATTGTTAGTGTCCTTACATCCCCAGACCGTGTTGTGAGCATTGGAGTCGAAGCCTATCACTAGTTCAGCTCCGGATTCCTGTGGCGAGGTTGATCAGTCGTCTGACCTCAGCCGATGGGAATTGTCTCTCGTCGCCCTGTGGCATGTAAACAGAGGCGAGTATCAATTTTATGTTGGATTTAACACAGAAAGTCTTAACTACTGTAATGTTTCTCGAACAAATGTCTAGAACTGGATTACATTTTAGCACATCTTTAACCCAAATGCAAGTTCTAGGGTGTGGAGCAGACATGGAAATGATAGGACCCCCTTCCCCCCTAGTGGTACCCATCCCCACAATTCTAAAATTATTGACCCAGGGTTCCCGAATCAAAGCAAAATCTAAGGAGTGCATTGCTCAGACATAACACCGCCATGGCAGCCTTACTGTGTTGTGGTTCGCCTGTAGGACCTGAGCCATCAGGAGGGCCTGAGAGGACTCTGAGCTGCACTTTACTCAGGCAAAGTTAGATGATCCAGCCACGGTCTTTTAGAACTTGCGCATTTATTTCATCAATGGCAAG